AACTGCAGGAGAACAATTAAAGCAGGAAATAAGTACTGCCTAAGGGTTTGTGTAAGGGAGAGAAAAGACAGGCAATTGACAAGAGGAGACAGAGAAAGGCAAGCGTTTTCATCTTTGGGGTAGTTGTTCTGACAGCGTAAGATGTTCAGTGTTCTACAGGTTAATACAAAGAGGGGGTTTTGTTGGGTTTTTTTTTTTGGTATGATGTCTTCAAGTTATATGGAAAGAAGTAGTTAACTTTTTAGAATGTGTGTGCACCTTTTAAGTGTTCCCTACTCTGGAGTGGAAGTACATAGCACATAAATGTTTACCAAGTCAGAAGTGCTTAAAATGACGTTTCTGTGATCTTAACACGCAGAATAAAATTATTATTTTAGCCTTCAAATTTGAAAATATGAGCTTACTTGATACTCTGGAAGTTGCTTTTCACCTATGCTTCTTTTCAGGTCTCTGTTAACCAGTGGCTGAGATTTGGTTTTGTAATTTTGTAGCACAAAACTCAGCCTGGACAGAACTGTCACTTCTCAAATAGATATATGGACTTTTTCTAGAGCTATAACTAATTTTTTATAAAGCTAGGAATGTAATGACAAAGTTTGTTTACAAGTAGATGTTATAATTTTTATTTTTATTATTTTTCTTTGCAAACGTGAAAACCATGCCAATTTCCCTTTCTCAAAGGTAACTTAAAATTTTTTTTGCAGAATATTCAGATGTGTTTTGTGAGAGGGGTGTGGGAGCAGTAATGCTCCTAGGTAGGATGCTGAGGGTTCCAGGAATTTATGACTGGAGTGCTTTGTGGTTTGCTTCTTGGTGTGTCCTAGCCCAGTGCAGCTGTGAGTGAAAGTCGCAGCTGCTGAGTGACCTAGGTGAAGTGAGTCAATGACATCAAACCAGGTCTGTACCAGTATCCTCATTACAGCTGGTGCTAATTGGCACCCCTGTTAGCAGTCTCCGTGGAGTCACTAAATCAAACAAAGCTCCAATTGGTCTCCTTGTTTGATGTGCGCTGGCAAGAGTTAGCTGAAAAACTGTTTTTTCCACTTCTCTCAAAGAAGCCATTTATTTTGGTTAAGTAGAAGGTAGTTTTCACTGTTGACAAAGGATCATCGCTTCTTGACTTTCTATGTATTCATACATAGAATTTGTAAGGGGAGCAATGGTTAAAGATCAAGAGCAAGTATTGTTACATGCACATAAAAAAATGCTGAAGCACCAGGAAAGCATATTCGTACTTTTCTGGGAAATTACTTGAATGATTGATGTCACAGCAACCTCTGTGACAAGAGAGAGAAACTAGATAAGGGAAAAAAATTTCTCTGTTTATTTTGTAGAAGCTATATTCACACTTTACTTTTTTCCTGTAGACATCCGCCTCAGCTAGGTAAAATAAAAAAGAAATATTTTTATAAAGTGTTGTAGAATACCAGAGGTTAAATGAAAGCAGAAGAGCCTGAAATACATTAGGAGGCTTTGAACTTTCTCATTCTGCCCTTTCATATAATTGAGTAGTGTGGATCCAATGCTGTCTATCAGAATTATTATGCTATGTGTCATAGTATAATATAATAAAATACTGTGTTATGATCTGAGCAAAGGATCCTAAACCCAAAGTTCTGCGTTATTTTCCAACTGTAGCAAACAGTGCAAGAATTCTGCAAGCTCTTGAGGTTGTCATGCAATAAAATCTATTAAGGCCCCAAGAACATATGTAGCAGCTGAAATAACTCTTTATTATTTTTAAAATTGGCTAGGTTGTCTGTGTTCCCAGTATTCTTTTAAAATCTTGAATACTTTTTTTCTTGGATAATGTCAAAATTAATATAGAGCGAGAGAGCATGTTGAATATTTTGAGATGTTAGTGGTTGTTTCACTGCAGCAGTTGGAATTTATCAAAAATTACTATGCTATTACCACACACGCACACGACCAAATGAGAGCTAAACATATGACAGGTATTATCTGCATTTTTATGTCCTCAGACCATAATATCTGAAATTGTCTTAGCTTTCTACATAGGTGTCTTCAAGTCATTCAGTATTAAACCTTTCAAATCTCACTTCTCCATTTATATGAGAGGGACTAAATGCTCTTCATAGGTGTTTTAAGTTTCTAAAATACTCTGAATATGTAAAGTGCTGTTCAAGTATTAAGTTTAAATGTTTTTCTTAAGCAAGACAATTGGATCTAGTTGGATTGTAACCTTCAAAGATCACCTAAAATGATTGAAATGGTCTATATGTGACCCTTTGTAGTTTCAACAGCTTTTGATGGTATCCCCAAGACCCACATAAAACCCTCATTCAGCCTTGATCTGTAATGTTTTGATTTGCTCTCTCTTATCAAGCTTTTTTGAACTATAAGCTTGGCTGTTTTATTTGGTATTTAGGGATGTTCCCTGGTTTAACTTTCTTGCTTTTTCCGCCAAGTGCTGTTTTTGCAATATATTAAGACAGAAAGGGTAATAGACAGATTTTCACACCAGATAAGTACGGTCATGGAACATAAAACTTCTAATGCCCAAAGAAAACATTGGAACACTGAAAAAGAAAGCGAAAAGAATTTCTACATACCTGGGGAAAGCAGAAGAGATGTGACTGTGGGAAATAAACCTTTTTAGCATAGGGTACACAGCTTTTATTATTAATATGAGATTATTCTGGAAACAGGATTTACAGATGATGTAAACAAAAATCTGAAGGCAGAAGGAAATGAGACTAAATTAAGCCTTTTAGTGAAAATCATGTGTGCAATAATTATTTGAACACAGGTGTAAAGAATAGCAGACAAGGGAAGAGTTTAATTATGTTCTAATAAATGCTTCTGAATGCTTGGTAAAATATTTTTCTTTAAGTGTGTTATGCTCATAATCTAATAGATCAGTCCTTATCATTGCTATCATCATTGTTTCTATCCTGTTGAAAAAAGAGTTGGTATTTGTATTTCTTTTCTTAAGGTAATAAATCTTTCCTAGGTGTGTACTTGATTTGATTAACTGACTAACTTGGGTACAAGATACCCAAGATGCATAAAATTGTTTCTTCTAGTCCATAAAAAAACAGGAATTCAGAGAACTGGCCTGAACATTTTAATATAGTCATTATGACCTCATGAAATGCATCTATTTTTACTAAAGATTTGTATTCACCAAGACACCTATATCCACTATTGACACACAAAATGCAGTGTATAACGAACAGGTTATATACAGAGGCTATAATTTCACACAGCTGAAAGGCTGATATCAAAATGTCAATCTAATTCTTTTTCCATCTTTTTCTTATTTCCAAATTCTAAAATATTTTCCAGTTGAAGCATCTCTCTACCAAAGAGTAAATTCCAACTTACATCAAATACACTTTTTTTGGATTACTTTTTCCTAATCACGTAGTGTTGGCAGGCCACAAATCAAAGGCCACTGTCCCAAACATCTTAGCCATCTGTGTGCTTATGACTTGTTTAAAGAAACATAATCAAATCTCTAGCGAGTTATAGTTCAAAATACTTTTTCAGATTGTTTGGTAGCACAGTACGATGCTAGTTCATACCATGGATTGCTGTCCACTGGGGAAACTAGGTGATGACAATTTATAATTTTTTCCAGATCTCATTTATTTTCATCTCCCTCATACAGAATAGTAAAGTTCGTTTGTTTGCACAAGTTTTAAAGTTAGAAACACTGCCCAGTTGGACAAAGTGACAGATTTTCAAGAAAATTCCTCTCATTATATTGAGGGGAAATACAATCTCAGAGCTATAACTTTATAGCTTAAATTGGTTTAAATACGTTAAGGGAATCTTTGCGCTTTTCAGGAACTGTCAGTTCTTATTAAGCTGAATAGTTTAATTTAATTATTTGCTGGACAGTAATCAGTTCAGAAATGCATATGTGTGATCATGAAATCCCTCATGAAATCTGTTCATTCAAGGTATTTCCCAGGTTTTATGCGATGTTAAGTAAGTTGATTTGTTCTGCTCTAATGAGTATACCATTGTGTAACTAAATGTTCTTCCATATGGTTGCCTTCATAACATCTTCCTTTTAATGGAGCTTCCCCCGACTCCCTGTAGCATTTTCTCTCTTCAATGGGATGGGTGCAGAAAAGGTTCTGATTCCCAGTTCATATTCTGTTTTAGAACTGGAGCCTCTGGAGTTGACTAAATTATATCATAGTGCCAGTTGTCTGGCGTTAAACTGACCTGAGAGAAGGATTAGATTTAAGCTGATATTTTGAAAAACTGTTCTGTTTTTGGGTTTGGGGAATTTATTTTCTTTTTTTCCAAAATTACTATAATGCTGAAGTGTCAGAAGATACATGGGCAGCTGTCCTTTTGTAGATGAAACAGTTAAAGGAGTTGCTCTCTTTTTCCATTCACTGCTGCCCATGTAACTTAGACAAAATTATGTGAGTTAACCTAGTGGACCTTCTAGTAATTTGAATGCTAATCCGTGGTACTGATGAGCAGTTATCCCAACCATCATCAAAACTCAGATGTGGCAGCAGTAGCTTCTTGTTAGGGGCAGAAATAGATTGTGTTTTGCAGGTACTGCTTGAAAATGCAGCGATGTGGTGATTGATCTTTTTAAATCTTGGTGAAATTAATTGAGATTTTGACAGATAGATAAAATAAAATGTTAAATTGTAGGTCACCTTATATATAAACAAGAAGTGCTTACCCTGGTGGTCAGGGCATTCCCATTGGATGTGGAAGGTGTCCCTTTCAGTTCATGCGTGTTGAAGGTATGAAGTGTTAGTCAGGTTTCCATTTCCTTGAGATTAAGCAGGAGGGGACTGAAGAGTTACAGAAGCTGAAGTAGCCGCTGATTAGGTGGGTTGGCGTAGTTTTCAGTGTTGCCATATGAAAAGTACTTAAACTATTACTTTGGGAACAGCCCTAGTGCTTCTGAGGCAAGTGAGCACTAATTCCTGCCATACAAGGGGAAGACACTGCAGTGTTATGCTTAAAAATGAGGCTGTTTATCTCTGTTTTTCTTGCAGGAAAAAGATTGAACCTCTACTAGGACAGTTCAGCCAGTCAGAGGCTTTGTTAATCTCCTCTGGAGTTGAGCCAGGGACTCTAGATGGAGTCCTCTTGGATGCTGGCTGTTCTTCTATGCAATTTGATACACCTGAAAGAGGTTTTTCCCTCCAGAAGGATGGACCTTTGGACATGAGGATGGATAGTGACAGGTATTTGGTAATAAAATATTTTTCCTTGAAACTCAAAGGCTGTGTGCTTAGCAACCCCCATGTATTTCATTTCCCTTAAAATTGAAGAATTCTCATCATCAAACTACATCTAAGTTCACGTGATTCTACTGTCTTTCTTTTGCCACAAAGTTCTTTTCTTTTCAGTTTTAATACTTAGAACTCTGGTTATCCTCCTTTGAAATAAGTGGAAGGTTCCAGTGATGAGTAATTAAACCACTAACATTTTTGTTAACTGTACTATTAAAATTTTACATTTTTGAAGTATATGGTATACAGTTACAGGGGTATCTCGCTTTCAGAGGCCTGTCTTCTCCCTGTTATTTCCATGGTTTCTCAGACTACTTGATCCTAAAGGCTCACAATCCCTTACTGCAGTCCCTTTCCTTTTCTGCCACACTTACTATTTGTGGAACCTTCACTTGAGCACGTTCAGTTGCTCCCTCAGGAAAGGAGCAACTTCCCTCTTTTCTGCAACGGCCATCTGACCCAGTTACTTCTCTCTGAAAGGAACATAATATAAAATTAATAAATAAAATCCCCTCCATGATGTCTGCCAATTGAAATCAGATAGCAGCATTGCTTTTAACATGCCAATATAATGTTGTCTTACGTGCCCACAGTTTTATTCTAAGCTTTCCTTAGAAATTTTATAAGCTTCCTTTCATGTTGTGTAGGAGGCACATCAGGCTTACTTAATTGTCAAATTGGTGATTACTAAATAAGTCACCTCTATTTAAATTATTAGAGCCGGTGTTTCATTCAAGAGCATGAAAATCAATGGTGGAATGATAATTTCTATTTATGTAGTAATTTTCATCTTCAAACAACCTAATACACATCTGTAGCATTGTGCTTTTTACATGAACAACCAAAGATCTCTGTTGTATAGATGATGGCAGTAATTGCATAATGCATCACTGGGAGAATGAAAATATTTGCTTTGGTTTTTGATGAACTTGTTGTCTTAAGAAATGTCATTTGATCTTTCATTGCTCACGTAAAGATGATGGGAAGCCTCAGTTTCTAAGGAATTACCTTAACACATTAATGTTGTCTTAACGCAGCAAATTTCATGATAACTGCTTTTTCCAGTTTTGTGTAAAAAGCTCACATGATCCTCCTGGGATTCAGCCTTCAAATTTCAAGAATCTGAACTCCAGGCTTGTTTTTGCATCATGAGAATACATACGTGGAACAGGAGCATAAGAACAAAGGGTACCTGTGGCATAACAAAAGCCTTACACTACAGTTGTTGCTATGATACTACTTGCCTCTGATTTCTAAGTTTTGTTATCTTTTGTAAGATACTGCAGGAGCGTAATAAATGCCTGAACAATATTCTCCACATTCATGTATTTATAGAAGAGAATTTATTAAGTAGGTTGTATGTTTTCTCTGATTAGTAAACCCATAGTTGATGTTTATAAAATAACCTGAACTGTTTGAATAGTTAAGTGACAGAGATTTTAAAAGAAATAAATGTTTTGCTTATACTATTTGTATTCTAATTCCTGTCATTTGTAATATTATGTCATTTCTGTTCTCTCAAAACAGTATTTGTATATAAATTCTTATGCCTTTTAGTGAAAAGTAAAAGTTAAATTATTTTCATGAGCAATTGTTTTCATAGCAGGAGATGTGAAAGAAAAGATCCTTGAGATCAGTTCTGACTAGAAAACAGCATATAATGCAAGATGACTAAAATGAACCTGTAAGGGGCAAGTTTATATTCTAAAGCTGTCGAAATGAAGAGTCACACAGCGTTTCCATTTTAACATGATACTGAAATTTATTTATTCTTGTCAACTCATTAAGCATAGTTCATGATAATACTTGGAAGTTTCAGCTGTACTAATTGATGTTAAGGAGCAAACTCCATTTAAAGTAGCAAGGAAAAGCATTTAAAAGGTGCAAGCTATGTCTGTTTTCATAGGGTGGCTGTCTCTTATTTGAAAACCTCAAAGGCACTTGTATGCAGTGTGTGTGTTTGACTTTATGTCTCAATGCTATGAAGCTTCACCTCTTGTCAATGAAAGCTGACGTCAGTGAACTAATTGGCTCTTCTTGTGCGTAGGTACCCTGACATGCCCACTGCTGCTGATGTTGTGAATGCTTTAGATCAACAGGCGCTTGCGTCCATCCTGAGAACATACGGGGAGGAGAGGCACGCCAAGAAAATTGCTTCAGCCATCGTTCAGGCACGCAGCATATACCCCATCACCAGAACTCAGCAGCTTGCAAGCATTGTTGCAGGTACCCTCATTAATTCTTCACAGTGGCTGAGGAGAAAAAATATTAATCCCCAAAGTCCCAGAGGGATCTATTTGTACTTGAAATCATGCAGGATCTAATCCTGCCTATTCTGCTCTGATGTCAGCTCTCTTTTTTTTTTTCTTTTTTTTTTTTAAGCTCCCACTTTTTATATTGTAGTTTGATGATTAGTTTAATAATAGATTTTACATGAAGTGATTTATCATTTTGCCAACCAAGTTCAAGCACAGGATGACAGCAGCCTAGGGAATTCTTTATCCCAGCTATTGATAAGCCCTCAAATATCAGAAACGTCATATACCTCCCTTAGTTTTAAATTTCTACTTTTTAGTATTTTGAGGGGAAGTACCATGGCAGTTTCCAATTATAAATGAAATAAGATTATTTCTGTCTGCTTAAAGAACCAGGAAGCAAAAAGTAAAGCAATACATTGCTTGCTTCACCTTGTGAATGCCAACTAGATCAGCCTGAAGGGACTATTGAAACACTTCATCTTACTTGCTCTTCACTATAAACAACTTGAACAAAATGTAGTTAGGCAGGAACTGTGCTTGCATCAAGAACCTTCATGTTTGTGTTCTCAAGTGAAAATTTTCAAGGAAAGATTTAAGACACAAATCCCATTCATTAACATTATAATATGTAATGTTGGGATATTTTTGGTTCTTTTAACCAAGAAATGAAAATTACTGGGTCTTGTCTCAAGTCTAAACTGCTGACTCTTTTGAATATAGACCTTAAAAACGGCTATTCAAATTTAACATTTGCTAAGGAATATTCATAAAAGTATTATGTGTATCCTAAATACTTTAAAAAAAATTATTGTTTTCATAGAAATTTGTATTGCTTAAACTGGAAGTTTAAGGGGATTAAGTTTAATGGCCAAAAAACAAATTAAAAAGTTTGGATTTGTTTAAGTCAGGATACCTGAGCAAAAGGTCCAGTCAACTGAGGCCCAAAGTTTGGCTGATATGATTAAAGGACCTGAAGACACTGCTTGCTGTTGTAAGCTGCTGCTGTAAATATAGTGAATGTGAGGAACAAGCAATCTCAAAAAGCCAAAGAGATAAAACACTATGAGTCTTTCATAAAACTTGAAGTTACATTTTTAATGTAGTCATTGTCATCAATATTATGAACTAATAATTTACTTTTTGTCTCATGCTTTTTGAAAAACTGTAGCTTCAGACTGCATACCATTATTGAGACTGAAGCAACCATATTGCTATGCTAAAGATGTAATCTGTTATGGGCTGTAAACAAGCAACTCAGTAACTTCTGAAATCATCTTGTGCACTAGCTTGAATTAAGACAATGAAAATACTAATGCATAAACAACAGTGATGGAAGATCCCTTCATGTTTAATGTGTTGCATGTGAGTCATCACTTAATGGTCACTTTCTGTGACAATGAGAAGGGTTTTTTGTTCTCACTTCAATCTCTTTGCTATATTTGGAGAGCAGCTTGATACGTGAATCAGGTATGCATCAGATAGTATACCTGCCAGTGAATATACCTGACAGTGAATCCAGCACATTTCTGCCAAGACAGTAAATATGTAGGGTTTGTGTGCCTTTTTTTTTTTTTTTTTAAGTATGCAAGAAGTTAAAACAATTTTAGGACAGTTACTCTGATCCCTGTTTGGATAGAACTTATTCCAATTTTAATTTGATTCTTCCAGTAAGGGAGCACAATGGTCGATCCCACTATTTTTTAAACTTATTATACCTTAAGAGAATTCCTATTAACTGTAATGTATTTTGTTTAATTTGTCATCTATCATTGATATATATTCTTATGCAAAAGATATCCATGAAGTTATTGAGATAAGCCAGAGCTAAAGTGCCAGAGACCACAGCTACTGGATCCTTTTGATGGCACAACACAAAAAACCCTCTGACTAATTCAGGCCTTTATCAGATTAAAATCTATGACCTATTAGTTAAATGTCAAGTCCTTCAAAAAATAAATATTAATTAGAATAATAAAATCTTGCATTTTAGATTTTGCAGGCTCTGTACGAGCATGATTATCACTCCAGAACAGGATGAATTTTTTTGTATAGTATAGGAGCCAGAAAGCAAGCAAAAAATCTAGGCAATGAGGCTGGATGCTTATGTCCCTCTATCTACAGGTGTCAGTATCTGAGAATTCATGTATAGTCCATATTTCTTTCGCATATTATAGATTACTGTGGCTTCAGATTTTCTAGAACTCCAAAGTTTTGTTTTAAGGTCCAGCTGATAACCAGAATCCCAGTGAATCTATATCTGGACTAGCCTGAAATTAGAAAATTTCATTTCTATTTATAGAATTGTAGAATTCTGGCCTTTTCTACCACCCCCAAAAAGGTTAGAGTGTGTATTGCTGTTGCGAATTTATTGGGAAATAAGAGTGAAGGATGTAATTAAAAAACAAAAAGAAAACCCATCTCCACAACAGTTACAGAACAATCAGACATTTCTAAAGTTTGTATTAGTAAGAGTTACCATTGAAAGGTACAGATGGAAAAAAAAAAATATATATATATTTGTATGTCATGATTGCCTATAACAGCATGGAGCTAACTCAGGTATCCAAGTGATCTCATACTCTCCTTTGTTCGAATTCAAGAAAATAATTCCATCTCTTTCTTGACATAAAGCCTGAAAGTTGTCTCTATATACTGTGCCAATGAATAAGGTACTACCAAAAAAACCTAAAAAAAGGGTTTGTTTTTCTACATGTTGTCTAAAAGGCTTCTGAGCCATTTAAATAAGGAGATCTCTGTGGGCTATGGAGACTGCAGTTTACATGGGGAAAAAGGAGGAGTTTTCTGTTCAGTCATGTGAACATCATCTCTTCTTGCAGCATAATCAAACTCCACTCACTGTTTATAATTTTCACACAGCTGTATGCAAAGATGAACGCTCTGTAAATACTAAAGATCAGTAGTTCTCAACTGAAGGTCTCTGAATAGAGAAGTCGCTCAAGAAGCACTTCTTGGTGACTTTTGCTGTATCTCATTGAGTTTGGAAACAATAGGTTTCACTCCATGTGCAGGAAAACTGGTTTAAAATAGTGACATTTTTAGAATGTAATTTTAGTAAGCTTTTTCCATACAACTGATGATCTATTTTTTTTCTTTTCAGTGAGTAATATATCTTGTTTTCTATTAGTTTTTGTACAAAATTTAATTTTTCTCAGCGTTATTTAGATACATAATCTATTGACAGATCATTTTGAGATCATGTAATCATTTGGATTTAACTTGAATTGATGATGAGATATTAAAGAAATTCGAAGTTTAAAAAGAACTTCAATGGGTAAGACCAGTCTCATTCAAGTTGGTTCACGTTTATAGACTTTAATTATCAGTTTGGAATTTATAATATTGCCTGAATTTCAGATGGGTGAGAATTAACACTGTACTGAGGGAGCCTAGACAAAAGGACATTAGTTGCGTCACAGAAACTTATTAAATGCAATGCTAATTCAACAGACGGATTCCTGCAAACAGGTGCACGATCTGAATTAATTTTTAAACTCTCCCACTCTCATACACTCTGGGGACTTTAATAGTTCATATTGACAGGCACAACACGTTGCTAATTTCATTCACAAGCGTTAAAATTTCAATACATTTCAACATGTGAATCTATTAGATTTTTAAAAGTATAAGTAGCATCAGGGCATCCCAAAACTAAAAATGATAATTTCTCTCACTGGGATTTCAAACCAGTCATCTAGCCAGAAGTGTGGTGGTTTTATGAATGAAATTCATTTTACAAGCTTCCCATACAGATTATTTTTTTGTACATTGTACAGCCTGGTACCAGGAAGGATTTTCTTTTAGTGTCATGGTAATTGTAGGGGGCTGGCTGAGAGAATTTGTGCCATAGCAGAAAGCTCAAATAAGTTTTTATTTAACTGTACCAGAGGAGTGAAGGTGGGGTAGGAAGATATTTTACCCCTTGAACATCGATCAAAATCTAGTGCCTTTACTAAAAAGATGAAGTGTGACACAAATCACTACCACAGGTTACATTTATTAGTTAATCCCAGGCTCTGAAGACAGACCAGTTAAGTCCTTGAACTTGGAAATGGTTTGATTTTGGTTTTAGATTAGGGGGGCTTGGTTGCATAAAGCTGCAAAGTGACTGCATTTCTTTACCAGATTCCTGGTGTTTTGTACCATTATATATGACCTGCAGTGCTGTTTCTGCATGTTCAGCTGAGGCACGTAAGGTTGTGTTACACTTACAGAATATATCTGGGTTTTAATTTATTTTTCTTCAGTGTGTGATAAATTAATTCACAGAAATGTCACAGTTAATTGTCATTGAAGATTATTGTAGGAAGACACTGCACTCAACAACCATGGCAGGACAAATGGAAGAACCTTCCAAAGGCCTGTTAGTGTCCTCGTCCTGCTGTGGTAGCCTGAGTATCTGATTTCTTTTGTTTATCTATTCAGTATTGCAATTGCAAAATATCATGTTCATGATGAGATTACTAAAAATCTGACCAGATATCTGCATGTCATGTCCATCGAACTCCAGGCGTAAAGGATCAGGAAAGGAAGGCAAGAAACTGGCATAGCTAAGTCAAGACTTGCTGGTCAAACTGAAGGGCAAGAAAGAAAGTGGGAGCAGGGACAGGTATCCTGGAAAGAGTATAGGGACACTGTCCAGTTGTGTAGGGATGGGGTCAAGAAGGCCAAGCTGCGGCTGGAGCTGACTTGGCAAGAGACGCAAAGAATAATAAGGTCCTGTGCAGCTATGTCAGCCAGAAGAAGAATGTCAAAGAAAGCATACCCCCTGATGAACATGACTGGCAAACTGGTAACAACAGACGAGGAGAAGGCTGAGGTACTCAACAACTTTTTTGCCTCTCTTCACTGGCAACCTGTCTTCCCTAAACCTCTTGAATAGTTGGACCATAAGGCAGGCCTGGGGGACCAAAGTCCCTCTCACTGTAAGAAAAGATCAGGTTTGTGACCATCTGAGCACCCTTGAACTTACAAATGGGGAGACCTTATTGTGGCCTTTCAATACTTAGAAGGGGCTTATAAGAAAGATTGGGACAGACTTCTTAGTAAGGCCTGTAGTGATAGGACATGGGGTAATGGTTTTAAACTAAGGATAGATTTAGACTAGATATAAGGAAGTAATTTTTTATGATTATGGTGTTGAAACACTGGCACAGGTTGTCCAGAGAGGTGGTAGATGCTCCATCCCTGGAAATTATCAAGGTGAGGTTGGATGAGGCTCTGAGCAACCTGATCTAGTTGAAGATGTCCCTGCTCATTGCAGGGAGTTCAGACTAAATGTCTTTTAAAGCTCCCTTCTGGCCCAAACTATACTAATTCTATTCTATTTAGATTTTCACAAAACCAGTTTTGAAGTAGATCTTTATATCATCCTGGTTCATTCACATAAGTAAAAAATATTTTGATGGCATAAAAGGCAAATCTTCCAGTATTTTACTGAAATTCCAGTGAGATTGACTGTGGAAATTTAAACAAAGGATCTCATTCTAGACCTCTGTTTTTATGGTTATGTCCCAGAATCACACTCAGTTTTGTACCTAAATTATATGCTGTACTCTTGTGGGTTGGCTTCATTTTTATCTGTGATAGTTTTGGAAGCTGGAATACTCTTAGAATATCAGAAATGGATCATCCCCAGAAAACCAGCAGTATTTTTAGAAAATACTTAGGCTGCTAAAATACTTAAGGCTGTAATACTTAGCCTGCTAAAATATGATAGTTAAAAAATCTGGATCTGCTTTGGGAGGTGAACACCAGATCTGAGCAGTTAACAGTCCAAAATTGAAAGTATAAAACTGATTCTCTTGAAGTCAGAGCTGTTAAGTTTTTCAGCAAGCGGCAGGAGAAAGGAGGTGTTGCAGTAAGACTGTAAAAGAAACAATACAGGTAGAATTGAAAACACGCACCCTGTTTTCTAACCCAATAGCTTGTTAGTATCTGATATTTTGTCAGGGAACAGTGGTTTTCCATTCCAATTACCACTATTTTCAGCAAAGTGAACATGGCAGAGCGGGCTTGGGTTTGGAAAGGGGAAGGGGAGAGTGAGGTATGTTTTCAATGGTTTTAAATGTAGACTTAGAAAACGAGATAGATTTGTTGTGTGTGATCTTTTACAAAACAGTCTTTTCTTATTCAAGAGACCATGGCTTTTGTAATTCAGTTCAAAAGATACCCAGATATCTGATGTGTCAACGTCAAATTCCATTGAAGAAAAAGTCTATTATGATGGAAACCTAAGGCAGGTCTTAGGGAGAATATGAAGCTATGTTTATTTAGTCTCTTAGGGCATGCTATGGAAACATGCATGTCCTGTGATATTTTTGGATACATTACATGCTGATTTTAAACCCTGCTGTTTCATTTAATAACTATGCAAGAGTTCTGAGCATGCTACTAGTCTTTGTAGTCTGTTTATTTTGCTCAGCACATCATTCCTTTATCTTACACATTAAGAGACAGTTTTCTTCACACACAAATGTCAGTCAATGGCTGTTTTAAGGATTCCATTATCAAAGAATCTATTTTTAGGTAAGTAAAGAAATATGGAAACAGATACTGTACCAGGTGGTACAAGCTTAGTGTCAGTTGGTTTCTTGGGACATCTTACCTTCTGAGCTTTTGAGTTCTCCTTTTAGTTCAACTCTTTCATCAAAACAGGCTTTGTGACTCCTACAATGAGGATATATTCTTTTTATGATTTACAGAAAGTATAGAACATGGTGTTCTCAAATACAGAAATCATATTATCTAGCTAGTGTAACTTTTTCTAGAGTTTATAAGTGGTGGAGGAACCTAGCTCCCGCAGGTTAAATCCATTTACTCTGTTTTGCGGCACAGAGTTTAAAGCCACAAATTCCTGTGCAGTGGTTTGTGTGGGGAGAAGTTGATCCTGTTGCTGCTTTCAGTCTTGAAGGATTCAGACTATAGGAACAGAAAGCAGCCAGGCTTCTTCAGCTAATTTAGGCACTGTTAGCGTTCGAGTCAGAGGAGGTAGGGAATGTAGTTGAGAAAATCAAGTATACAGAAACACATCTTAGACACGTCACATACATGATAATAACTTTGTTAATAATGATTGAATTTTTTAATCCCATTATTGACCTCTCACTTTGCTGAACACTGATGATCACTTGTGTGTTTGTGATGCTGAACACATGTTTTCTGACATAAGTAAAATCTTGCCTTTAAAACTGTTAAGAATTCCAGTAATAAATTATTTTGTGCCAATTTACTAGATGATATCTCCGTTAAATTTTCTTTAATCACCTGTGTAAATGTGAATTACACAATGTGAATCAACTTGTTTCAGAGGTACCATGTTCCCATCTTTTACTCCACTACACAGAATATCAATTACTTGATTATGAACTGCATTTACTTCAAACCCATTGCTTTATTATGTTGTAGTTTAGCACTGGCATGGAATCAAGGCATTTTAATACATACATACCAGCTGCATTGCCTTATCTCTAATGGGCCCTCCTGTTTGGAAAAATAATTCTTTCCAGTTATGTGCTAGCATTATTCATTCCATTTATCTTCGCCAGACTCCTGCGCTCACTTACATAATAGATGATAAGTTTACTCAGGTTTCGCAGATCTTGCAAGACTCTTGCACTCTAGTCCCTTTGATCCATCAAATCTGGCTTCTTTAGCTTTTTACTCTATACTTAGATAATGAAGATTCAAGCCTAAAATACATTAAATAATGATATATTAAAGTTTCTATCAAAATTTCAGTCTCTACAGAGACTTGTATAACTCATAAGAATTTTGAAGAAAGGAAGAGGGAGTTTTGTGCATCTAGTAAAAATTACTTTATCTGGTGATTTTTTGTGCAACAAGCTCATACAGAATCACAGAATTGTAGGGGTTGGAAAGGACCTTTGGAGATCATCTAGTCCAACCCCCGCCAAAGCAGGTTCACCTGTAGCAGGCTGGATGGAACATATCCAGGCAGATTTTGAGTATATCCAGAGAAGATGAAAAAGCAACAGTGTCAGATGCATTGTCTAAAATTCTCAAGGTATTTTTGTGAAAATTTTTGAAGAAACACAGGTATAGTGGTCAACAATTTGTATCCCCAAACAAGAATGCTTCTTTATTTAGATGTAGCTTTATGTAATTCATTGAAAGATACTTATCACCAGGTAGACATTGTCTTCATCCTATCTCTGGCTGTGAAGAAATGCATCATTATTTAGAAGCAGTTAAAAATGTGTGTGCATCATTATTTTTTCCTTAAAAGCATAAAATAAATCACCACAAATACTGAATTGACATTGACTACACTGAGCTGTAAGGTGTAGGACTTATCAAGACCATCTCCATTTTTCCCCTGTTTTGGTTTCAGCTGTCATGATTCATTTTAATTTTGTGAAGCATTTGAGGAAGGAATTTCTGTGAAAGATTCTAGGAAAAAAACCCAACACCCAGCCCCAAGCCAGATGAGTTTCATAGGGTTTACTTTCAGAAATGTGAATTCAAAGCAGAAAATAAAGATTTATTATAAAGAAGGAAGCTCACCATTCAGGTTTAAGTTGTAAGTATGCTTTTCTTTAAAGTCGTCATGTATGAGTGGTTTAATGTCAGGATATCAATGTAGAAATAATAAGGTTTTAACATATACCTTTTAAAATTTGACAGGTGCTTTTCCAGCATCAGCACTGTATGCACGAAAAGACTTGCTTCAGAGACCTACGCATGTGGCTACCAAAACTTTCCAAGGCCTGCGCATATTTGTAAATGATGAGCTCCATGAACTCTTTATAGGGCTGAAGACAGCTGAGAAGTTTCTAAAACCTGGGGGTCGTCTTGTAGCCCTCTCCTTTCATTCACTAGAAGATCGTATTATCAAACGTTTTCTTCATGGAATAGACATGACAGAAAAGTACAATCTTAGCTCAAGGCAGAAGATAAGACAAGCTCTGAAAAATGGCTCCAAAGAGGAAGATACACAAGAATTTTCCTGTGGAAAATCCAACTCAAAGTGGACTTTTATACAGAAAAAAGTTCTAACACCCCAGGCCAAGGATATTCAAACAAACCCAAGAGGAAGGTCTGCCAAGCTAAGAGCTGCTATTAAACGCTAAACCGAAATATATGATTATATAATTGTAAAATGTCCTCACATTATGTTTTCCAAAAGGCTAATTGGACAGATAGTATCAAACTGAAAAAAATAAAATTAAGGCTGTTAACAAAACATTTCTTACTTTCGTGCTTCTTTTTAATTAGGAGGTTGTGTAGATCAAAAGATAAAATAAATGCAGATATGTGGGTCTCACTAATTATACAATAAAGAGATCTTTTTGAAAAGAACTTCAAACCCAAAGTTTATAAAAACTGCAGGTGTGATGTATTTACAGTATTTCCTTTAGATTAAATTCAGAACCCTTCCATTAATGTTCTAAATTCAGTAGCTGATTGATAGACACATTTTCATGGGGGTGGATTTCACATAACTGAGTCAGATGGCTGGTTTAGTCTAGAGTAAGTTTAAACTAACCTAAGAATTAATGATGTGTAAGTCTCTGTATCTCAATTGATTTGTTGCATGAATCCCTGTGGGACAAAAGCTAGATCTTAAATAAATTCCTATCAGCATCTAATGTTCTATCCAGGAATCTGTAAGTGGGCATTTACCTTTTTTTAAAAAATAAGTATACATTTACATCTGAGCAATCACCTGTTTATTTAATTTTTATGGATCCTAAATAATAAATGTATCATGAGGAAAAAAGATACTTAAAAGACCACTGTTTGCATTTGGACACTACAAGCAAGCAGTCAGAAGATTTTTACTTGATCATTTGGATTTCTTCTTGTGGCCCTAGCTTCTGTGCATGGATGCAGTACACCTTTTATGTGTTAATGGTATTCTAATTAACCCATCAAAAAAGTGGTGTTGTGGGTCTTATGAAGTATTCCCGTTTGCTGATGATCATTTATTAAGAGGAGCTACTTGCGTAAGTATTGAATTATTTTTATAAAAGGCCCACTGTAACACCAGTTTCCTATTTGGATGCTATACTAGGTAGTCAAACATGTAACAATTTATTTTTTAGTGAGTTAGTATGAATTGGGTTTAGCTTTGGGTTTATAATTTATCTTAAAAGATTATTGTTTTGTGGTCTTTGTATGTTAAAAATGATCAGAAAGTAGTGTAATTTTTTCAGCTTCTTTTGACCTCTGACTCATCTCTTCAGGAAAAAAAGTCCTTATTTGGATAATCAAATCAGTAGCGTGATTTCATTTGTGATGAACATGAAACTTGGCTGGTAGAATAAGAAATACAATTTCTGACTCTGAGCTAAATGAGTACTACACTAGCTTCCGAAAGAGAACTGACTGCATCATTCCAGACTTGACTTTCATCAAGCATCCTCTTCATGTTGGTGTAAATGATTACTTCACAGGAGTTTTTTGGGTCATATTGACACAAACAAGTTGGAATTTAGGTTCACTGTCTATAATGTAGAGTCTATTGAAATACAAGATTATTGTTTAATTTCTTGGTAAAGCTAAGTCTTGTAATGTATTCTTAGGTATGCACATGTTAACATCCATCTCTAATCTGAAATAACACTCGAATGATGATGGACATTTCATACTTTTCTGCATTTTCAATATTTTTCCACTAGTTTCATTATACATGCTATAAAATATTAAATACAACATTCCACTTCAAATAATATTACTTACTGTTGACATCTTAGAGACAACAGACTGTACCTTAAATAGACATTTTTTCATCCAAACATTAAATATAAATACCTAATGTTATTTTTAGCTAAGATTCCATACTGAAATGTACTCCAGTTATAGGTTGGAAAAATTGTGCCTCCAGCATAGGCTTAAAAGAATTATAGTTCCATGCTGTGCGTTGTTCAGGAATATGCTTCAGGAAAAGAACATCCAGTTATACCGGAAGTTAAGTGTCAGTATTCCAGAAATTATATCAAAGCATTAAAATTCCTTATGCTTAAAACAGTGGTTCAGCCACACTTCTCACATCTAATTTCAAAGACACAGTTTTTTTATGGTAGTTGAACTATTGTGTATCTGTTTTTGTAAATACACTCACTCAGCTAGGGAAGGTAAGAGACTTCTCTTTACCTTTAGGTTGGAGCTGCACAGCCATGGCACTGCATCAGTCATTGAGCTCTTCTTTTTAGAAGATCCATGTCTCTCCTCTCAAGGTCTCCTCACTATCACCTTTAAACTAGTGCTATGGAGAGTCCTAGAATTTTAACCTCTGCTTGCCTGAAAAAGGAATTTTCTGGTTTTCCCTGAAAAACCTCTGGTTACATTTCGTCACTGTATTCTTGTATCTTTAAGCATATAATTTTCATTTATGAGGTGAAGTTATGTTATGTGGAGGGTATTAGGTCTTTAGGTTCTTACCAGGACACGTGTCTACATAGCGTATCTTAAATTTTCCTAATATGGTATATGTTACATGTTAGTAAAACCAAAAAATAATCAAAAGTGGTATTTATGAAGAAGATGGTATCTGGTGGAAAACTAGTCTCACTGAAAATCAAGTCATGCTGTCAAGATACAAATTGTTGATGCAAATTGTATATAATTTCTAAAAACTTGCCTGAGCAGCGTACACTTTAATACAGCCAAATGCAAGTTTCCCTATCAAGAAAGAAAAAAGATTGTAGACCATGTTTATGAGGACTATGGCAATACCATGGTGCTGTACGTGATGGGAAGAGTAGAAATATCCAATATGTGGGATATTTGTAGAGAAGGCCAAGTCATAGTTGTGGAGAGATGATGGTATTGCCAAACAATATATGCCTGCAGACCATATTGTAAAAGTGTATATCTTTTCATGTTAATGCTTCAGAAAGGTGTGGAAGAATTTTTAAGTGGATAAAAACCAGCTATGATACTATTGATAAACATTATAAACATGCTTTCTATTGAAATGATTAGAAAATGTAATTTAATTAGTTAATCCGAGTAAATGCAAAGAGTTGGTGTGCTGTCGAATGTGCCTACCTGCTGAAGAGATTTGCATAGAATAATTATTTGAAAACTAGACACAGTTATCCTGTGAATAAGCTTTTTATAGTAAAAATATAGTACTTTTAAAAGATATAATTTTAAAGCATACATACAATTAGATGCCTTTATAGCCCGTGAGGGCCTACCAGGAATTATTACTTCCCTATTGCTTCCTAAAGAAAAAGAATCAGTTTCATTGTTTCAGAATGCAAAGTCTTAATCATACTGTTTTCGAGTAAGATCTGTTGAAGTATTTGATAGATGGAAGTTGGAAGGAGGGGATTCCTAATGTACGCATGGGGAAAATACTGGCTTCGGTAAAGACTATTAGCAAGTGTCCCTTCTAGTAACAAATATTGGATCAGATTTTTTGCACGCTGCTTTCTAGAGTAACATTTCTATGATTATTAATGATTCATATAATTGCTCTAAAATTACTCTTTGTATTGGAGAAGACATGGTATTAATTGGAGAGTTTGTGCTCCTAAATAGTCTAACAGCGCAATGAGGGAGGAAGCATGAGGGACTGTGCCCTGAGGAAGGTGACATGCAGGGGTGGGATGACTGCAATAAGCAGTCTTAGACGCAGATTGTTGGAGATTTTATTTGATTAATTTAAATTTTAAAATAACTTAGATATCAGCCTTGACTCATTGTTTGGAGTATCACTGTACTGCTGAAAAATGAGATGAATTTGAATAAACAGATAAGTAATGAACTCATAAGCTAATTTGTAAGCTGCCCATCTTACTTAACATCTTTACTGCTAGCAGGAGTAATAAAGGGGTTCAGACCTGCTTTTCTTGTGCCCCAAAATCTTTCCAGGAAGAGTCCTTCAGTAGGATTATGACCATTTATACCGGGATTGCAAACACTGTTCAGTGGAGTATGGGAGTTGGTCTTTATATTCTTACATTCATTTTTTCATATAGCAATTCCTTAAAGCTAATCTGTAACTTAGAATAATATGCAACTATATTTTTAAGTCTTTCAGAAGTATAATGAAATGTGGAGGCCTTTTTACACCTGAGGTATATGGGAATTAAAGCAGGATTTTGTGGATTAATTAAGACTGCAGTGCTACAGTGAATCTTGCAAATAATTTAAATTAATGTAGAACAACTTTTTCCCTTCCCCTTTTCCCATCCCCTTGGAAGAGAGATGAGAAAAATAGGTTTAATTAAAAAGAAATAAGGAGTAAAGTTGAGAACCTTAGAAAAAACCTCACAATTTATGATGAGGCTAAGCTGACATCCAATTTTAACAAAATTTCATATAGGTATATGCAGTATTCTGTTACTTTTCTGTTCATTGCCTAATTTTACCTGGTTGGGGAAATGCAGGAGCGGTGGGATAGCTCAATCTCTGTACGTGGATGCAGAGCATGGTTTCTCGTGCATAATCAAAGGTAATAGTAGGAAGGTATATATGCTTCTAAATCCAGCCCTGTATGTTTTTCCCCCTGTCTCCTTTGCAGTTAGAATTGTGTTTACCTTTCTGAATCCTCTGTAAGCTTATCCCAGGGTGAGTGAGAGGAAAGGGCTTTTCTTTTTCAGAAAACTGTAATACCTGTCCATCCAACTTTATCAAAATTAATGCTATTTAATACTTTTCTTTTTGACATATTTCACTGATGACATGCCATGTTTTTCAATATTGCTATTACATCACCAAGACAGGAAAAAGGGAAAATATTTGTTCATGGGAAATCTAAGCTAAAAAAACAGAGCAAGTGGTTGGTTGCCTGAATGTCTATCACAGCTATGTTTATAAAAAAAAACAAAAAAAACCCCCCAAAACAAAAAACTTTTTCATTATACCTTGATCTTTAGGTAAATTATATTTTTCCCTTATGCTTTTAAAGCCTAATTTGGTTGGTAGTAATAGTCAGAAACAAGCTGGAGAGTTTTTTAAAAATATTTTTATGTTTGCAAATTTAAACTTGACACCTTGTTTATAGCTGTCTCTTTAAAGAGTAAAACTGGAGATACAGCTCCCTCTATCTGTCCTGGGAATACCTGTGCTGTGTGTTTTTGAAGTGCACCTGCAAATTATTATAGTAACAGCATGTGTATTGTCAACACGAAGATACAAGATAAAAACATGTGGAGAACTTCTTTTACAGGTCAGTAGTTGTTTTAAATTATGCTAACTGGAATTTTAAAAGAACAAAGTATGAGTCAT